AGTGGATAGAAACAACAACTATAGTTGTTACTTCTACATTCCAAGTCACTTCATCATCTTCCATAGCCTTCCAACAGCTGCATATTTAGGTGTTAAGAAGACAGTGAAGAGAGTAAGAGAACACTTCTATTCAGTTGTGTATTGCGGTTTTGGGAGTAAAAAGGTCCATGAAAGAAATATGAACAACTATAGCAGTAGTGTGTTGGAGCACCACTTGAGAGAGTGATTATCAATGTGCTTGGTTCTCTTCAATAGAGTAATTGTGGGAATAAATACACCATGGCTGTTATGGACTATTCCACCAAATGACCAGAAAAATATGATTTTCCTAACTAGGAAGCAGAAACTCTAGAAGGGATACTCGTCGATGAATTCATTTCAAGATTTGGATTGCCAGTGACACTCCACTTAGATCATGGATCAAATTTTGAGTCAGCATTAATTGCGGGAATATTATTTGAATCAAAAAAGCTAGGACAACAGCCCTTCATCCATCTTCTGATGGCATGGTGTAGAGATACAATTGTACACTGTTAAATCAATTAGACACTTACGTGGATGAACATCAGAAAATGTGGGATCGAGATCTTCCACTACTATTTATGAGTTATCCAATAGTAGTACACGAAGCTATAGGCAGTGCATCATCACCACTGATGTTAGGCAAAGAATGTAAAGTGACATTGGACCTTTCGTATTCGCATCTGAAGGATGGTCACTCAGCAGAGTTTTACACAGAATATGCAACGAGACTAAAGAACATCCTTGAGGTTGTAGATGACTTTACCTTGAAAGACGCTGTGATGTTAATTCTGATAAGACTAGATTTAATCAAGGTGATATGGTGTGGCTGTACAAGTTCTGCCTCGAAAAAGGACGAGCTCCAAGTTTAAACATATGTTGTAATGGAAAGAATAAATTATGTGATTTACAGAATCCAGAAAGACAGGCAATTCAAGCCAAAGGTCATCTCCCGTGATCATCTTTGGAAGGATATCATTGAACTAACAGTGAGCTGGGTAATTTCAGAGAAGAATTTGCCTGCAGGAAGTCAACCTGCAAAAGAACCGAAAGTTCCTGTCAGAATCACTTCCAGAGGACCATCAAGGATAGAGTTTCCAGTGGATTTGTTCTTTCCCAAACACATGCCCAATGACAAGATAGCAAGTGGTGACAAAGGACAAGAGTCCACCCCATTTGTATATCATAACCCTCGGAGAAGAAAACCACCAAACTAGACTTGCTCAGTGGACAATATTTAGTGCACTATTTTATTTCTGTATTCAGATTTTAAAGAGACCTCACAATCCAGGAAGGGTCAGTGTTGTAAGCTATATTTTTAATGTTTTTGTTTAGACGTTTGCTAGGGCACATGACGCTTGATCTAGAAAGCTCATAAAAGTAGTTCTAGAATATCTTGAAAGTCCTTGATGATTTAATAATCTAGAAATTTCGTAGAATTTGGAGAAACGAGATTGCATTCGAAAAAAATGCGAGTAATCATTGTGTGAAGATTCTATGAGAATTAAGTAAAGTATTCATCAAGCTGATGAATTAAGTGTTAGAAGAAGTATTCACAGTTCAGTGTTAAAAGTGACATCTATCGCAACAATTAAGAAGGAAATTATTTAAGTTTTTTTTAGTTAGGCGTACTTAACATAGTCTCGGAATTCTGTTGAAACGTTTTTACACCGAGGATTAAAACTACAAGAAAATGTAGCCTGCAGCAAACTTTAACTTTGGACTAATCTTTTATTGTTACATGGACTGGATTTCTCATTCTTTTTACCAAATAATCCAAACGAGCCCAACAAAAGAACACATTATAACAGTACCATGTTATTGTTCACAAGTTATTGTGTTTACAGTTTTCTTTATTTTAGCTACATTCGTATTTTGTTAGAGTAATCACAAATTTACCTTTGATCATTGAAGTAATACCAGCTGTAATTATACTTATAGTATGTTTGATTGTATGATTTATGTAAATATTTTGCTAATAACTAAAGTTTACACAGTGTGTCGATTAATAGCAGGATTACAACCAAACTTGTCAAATTATTTCATGCATTTATTCAAATAAGACTTTGCATAGCATTTTTTTTTTAAAATATTAAAACAAATATTATAAAAACCTTAAAACAATGTACTTTAAGATGTTTATATGAAAGTTATTTATAAGTAGTGTACTGTGGAAAGGTTGGATAATTTCAAACATTTCGTCAGAAAGTTTTCAAAACAAATGATAGAATGTATGTTATTGAAACCACTTTTACAAAAGTAATTCAGGTTATGTTATGTAAGGTTAGGTTACCTACAGTCAATATACTTGGACGACTCTGAATCTATTTTGGGTTTTTCATTTAGAACAATACTTGAAAATCACCTGCAGTAAACTCACTAATATTCAAAAATACACATTTTCATCAACTGAAAGTTGCTCTGACAACACATACGATTTTTTAACTATAGAAATTTACTAATTACTTTACATAATATGATATTTCAGTAGCGTGTGTGTGTTGGCGAGGGGATGTTTTACATAATCCGTTGATTAGTAACATAATTATTACCTTTGATTAACAACATGCATGTATTATCTACTCATGTTAAACAATGTTTCATGTCATAAGTGTCTCTCTTCATTATCAAAAAGGTTATTTCAAAATATCTTACAAATATACTCGTATTTCGCTTTCCCTTCTTATGTCCATTAATTTATATAGGTTATGATTATTTCTAGAGGGAGCTGACTCACGCCAGTGTAAACATAACAAGTTACTTTCGGTGACAAGGAACCCACTTTGAGACAAATAATGGCTGGAGACGGCTTGAATGGGTAATGAAGAAAAACTTTAATATAAGTTTAACATAACAGCAAATGTACAACGTTTCGACAAGGTTTTGTACCTGATCAGGTACAAGTAATATATACTGACACGGATATATATATATATATATATATAT